CAAGGAGCCATGCCTTTGAGTCAGAGAATGCTCAGCTGGAGATGCAGCAGTCAACTGGAGCCCTGGGAGAGAAGCTGAGGAGTGATTGGAAAATTTATCACTGAACAAAAGAGCTAGGTGAAACAAGTAAGGAAACCATGCCTGCCTCAACCATACCAGAGCTATTAGGATAATTCTGGTCTTGTCCGGTCTGATTTTGTTCACCACTTTGAGAATCAGAGGTGGTAGGGGAAATAATAAAACAGCTTCCTCATCCAAGTGAGAAGGAAGGCTCTCCCCAAGGAATTGTGACCTAACCTTCCCCCGCCTCCCACCCCATCTTTGAACTGAAAAAATGGCATTTTTGTTTGTAGTTGTGGCAATGAGGTCCACCTCTGGAAATCCACAAGTCTGAAATATGCTGACAAGAACTAGGAATCCAGCTCCCATTCATAGTCTTGGGGGAAAAAACCTGCTCAGAGGATTGGCTCTGACACTTTTCCTACCCTGGAAATATATTGCTGAAATTCGTATGCAACATTTTATACACCATTTCCATAACCTTATTGCTTCTGCACAAGGAAGGGGATCTTACTCCTCCCTGCCAATTGGTATCAAACAAGCAGTCCACGTGGTCAGTCATGACTTGGATAGGCCTGTGTCTGATGAGAGGCAGAAAATGAAGACAGGTATTTCTGACCACTCTGAGCTCCAACAGCTTGATACGGAGGGTAGATTCTTGGGGTGACCACCTGTTCTGTACCATTACAGCACCAAGGCGCACACATACCTATCTTAACAGAGATGAATCCATGGTTACGGTTAACCATTGGCGTCGGTTGGAGGCAGGGGATCCCCGCCCCTACACTGTGAGGAACTATCCACCAATCTAAGGAGCGTTTTACTTGTTGAGGAACTTACACCTGTTTGACTAGGCTGTCTCTGGCAAGTAAACTGATCTGGGACGCCCCTGGAAACAGCCAAGCTGTAAGCTCACACTCAGTCACAAAAATGCAAACCATCATGTGACCTAGAAGTTCAAGAGAGCTTTTGACTGAAATCTGGGGGCTCCCTTGAATAGTTCTGACAAAGTTTGATAGTGTCGTGAATCTGTCCATGAGAAGGAAGGCCCTGGATGCCAAGAAATCCAGGGATGATACCTCCTATAAATTGTGTATTCTGAAAAGGAGTCAGTCTGGATTTTCCCCATATGCAATTGGTGACCCAAAGTCCAAGAACAGAGAAAGTGCTTTCCAGGGGGCTGACAACACTTCTTGGTACGACCGTCCCTTGAGCAACCAGTCAAATACTATGATTGCCTCATGACACAAGCAGGCAGTCACCACTGGGAGAACTTTTGAAAACACTCTCTGAGCTGAGGAGACCCCAAACAGGAGTACCTGTACTTAAAATGATCTAAGATTGGCCTCTGTCCTCCTATCTTCTTTGCACAAGGAAGTACGTTGAGTACAAGTCCCTTCCCCAAAGCTGAGCAGGGACTGGCTCTCTCGCTCCTGAACAAAGAAGGGAGGTTAATCTCCTGTCTTAGTAGGAATGGATGAGAAGGGTCCCTGAAGAGGAGAGAGAAAGGTAATATGGATGGTGTAGCCCGATATTACTTTCAGCTCCCATTTGTCCAAGATGATATACTCTCCTGCTTGTCAGAAATGGGGGTTAGTCCTCAAATGGGGGAAGGTGGGCAAATCATTGCATCTCACAGGCTAAAGAGAAGGGAGGGTCCGAACCCTCGACCATCCTCACAAAACTGACACTTTTTACATGGCTAGTAATTATCCTTTAGCAATGGTAGGCTGAAATTGTTCTCTTTAGTCCGAAGGAAGGTGTGGAATAAAGGAGCTAAATTTTGCATAATTTGTAAAGTTGCACTTGGCCATCAGTACCTGATATTTCGCAGTGCAGAACTGCAGGGTTGCCAGTGGGTAAGATTTTTCTCCCCAGAAGGTCCAGGTCCGTCATATGGGGTGGATTTATACCCGTATTTGCCCAGTTTTATCACCATTTCAACCATCAGAGAGCTGGCTGGAGGATAAGAAACTAGTCACTCAGAGTCCTTGGTGGGAAAAACAATACTTTTTAAATCGTCTCTCTTACACATGGGTGTTACTGTAGCAAAGGTTTGCAAATGGTATTTTCAGGTTCCAGCAGAGCCTCACTGATAGGAAGGGGAACTCTGGCTGATGTCGCAGAGTGAAGAATATCCAACAGCTTGTGTTGAGATTCTTTGATTTCCTCAAAAGGTATCTGTAGGGAGTCTGCCACCCATTTAATGAGGTCTTGAAACTGCAAAAAATATCATTGGCAATAGATAGAGGAGGGGGCATTACCACTTCAGCCTATGAAGATGATGAGATGGCAGCCTGGGAGATAGCTTCTTTATCCGCCCTTCTCTTGATCCTTGAATATTTCCTCCTATTGTTGGGGAGTAGACGTTTGAGTCTCCCTATCATCCCGAGAGGAGGAGAGGAGAGGAGAGAGAAGCGGGGCTTCTCCAGACTTGCCAGCGATAAAATGCCCAGGGACCCCAATATGGCCATTGAGGTTGCATCCAGAGTTGTTCCCACCAGGAATGATGAGGTTCCCGGACATCTTCCCTGTCTCTTTGAGAAAGGGGGGTTTGTATATTGGTACATAGGAGTACGCCGAACAGAGATTGATGATACGGAAAGGAGATCTCCATTATCATCCTCTTCCTCCTCTAATGGGAGAGCTCTGACTGAAGAGAGGTGACAGTACTGAGGAATAGCTCAGTGGTCTGAGCACTGGCCTGGTAAACCCAGGGTTGTGAGTTCAATCCTTGAGGGGCCCATTTAGGGATCTGGGGCAAAAATCTGTCTGGGGATTGATCCTGCTTTGAGCAGAGGGTTGGACTAGATGACCTCCTGAGGTCCCTTCCAACCCTGATAGTCTATGATAGTCTACTGGGGAATGTATAAAGGTTCAGAGACAGAGGTTTTCAGTAGAGAGATGCTCAGCACCTGTCACCAACAGACACACTGGTTCAAGCAGTCACCAATAAGCCCTTCAGCTACCTAAAGTCTTCCAGTATTTAGTTGTGGTACTGACAGACCAGTACGCCTGTCCCTACAGGAAGGTACCAATGGTTTTGAGCGCTTAACAGGTAGCGCTGATGTAAATGGAGGTTTAGACTTAAATGGTACCAAAGAGCTCGATAAGGGTACTGGGAGAGGTGTTAAGTCCAATAGTACTGATCTTCTGTGTGTTTGCTCTGACCATCTCCACTAGACAATAACTCCTTCTCAGAGCCATGTTTACTCTTAGAGCTGCAGGATTTTCCCACCTTGCTGGTACCAGTATAGCCTTTTGCCACTACAGTACCAAGCATGGCTGCTGACCTGGTCGGAGAGTGAGCACTTTCTGAGATGGATTCCTTAGGAGGGGAATTAGAGCGCCTCTTCTCAGAATCTTTAGAGGAGATCTTCAAGGCTTTCCCCTTTGTAAGAGTATTGCGCTGAGGTCAAAGGGCTGCTAGAGACCCCAGGGACTGATGTACAAAGGGGACCTCCTGACGTGGCTCCGAACCCAGGTGAAGGGAGCACTCCATCATTAACAGTCACAACTTGATTTCCCAGTTCTCCCATGTCCCATGGCTAAACAGGAGTTACACTTCTGTGGGATGCAACTCTCTCTCAGGCAGTGAATACAGTTAGACTGTCCATCGCTGACTGGGATAGCCTCTCCACACGAGGCAGCACTTAAACACCTGTGAACAGGTACACCCTTCACAGAGCCGATTTCCTCAGAGGAAATAAAACAATCTTTCAATAACCAGTAATTAACTATTACTATTACTAACAAACTAAGCTAAATAAACGAAGTACAAAAAACTCAGCAAGCAGCCGAGGCACACAAAATGCAGACATAATAAACTCCATCTCAGGCCAAGGTGGTTGAGAAGAAACTGAGGACAGTTCTCCTCCACAACCTGATGTAGCCTCGGTACTGGGCATGAGGCTATCAGCAGCATATATGTAGACCAAACAGACACCGCTAGTGAAAATCTCGGATCAAAGGCGTGTGGGGCACATGCACAATAGAAGTGGAATACATATAGGGACACTACTCGAAGAACTATGGTTTCCTCACCAAAAGGAAAACAATGAGTAACTGCAAAAAATTTGAACGGACACTCAATTACTAAGAAAATGTCAAGAAAAAGTCGATATACTAAAATGAAACTCATTAAATCATAATTAATTTAGCTTTTCTAGAATATGGAAGGTGCTCTTTATACCAGAACATGCTCTCTAAAAATGCAAAAGAAACAAGCCTCAGGAGTGCATGTTTAATAAGACACTTGCTAGCAGCTCCCAATATGAAGGCCACTGTCATTGGCCAGAATATAAAATGTGCATGCTATCACTGGAGTAGTTTTCATAATTTTTAATAAAAAGTTAGGCACTAAAAACTACATTATACACTTTATTTTTACACTTTAATTTGATTGTAGTACCGTTACCACTAGAGATCAAGATTTTTTTAGTGCAATTACTACAAACTGATTTCTCTCTAATATTTGGTGCACTCGTTGGATTTTTTTGGTTTGTTTTTGTTAATTCCAAATCTTCATTTTCCTCTGTCATTTTCACATATGCCAATTATGTTTTCAAGCTTTTCAAAGTTAGACACATGTATGTATGTATGTATGTATGTATGCATGCATGCATCTACATATGATATGCATCTAAACTAGTGTAAAGGAAAACCTCCAATTCTTTCAGGGCTAACAAAGCGATCAATTTTATAAAAAGGGTTTTAAAAGCAAAACCATAAGAACCTAAATATATGAGAGTTGGTTCACTGCAGCACTGAGACTTGTAAAAACTTCTGCAAAACAGAGCTGTTTTTGCTTATAAACGCTGTAAATGTATCAGTTCTGGTTTGGTTTCCCTAAGCAATTTTTAAAGGCTGTGGGTGATTTTTGACCTCTGAGAGACAACTACATAATTCCTTTCACCACAAACATTTCAGTTATAGGGTACCTGTGTTCTCTAACAACGTCTTTGGTGTGTTGGGTCTGTTAATGATTTCTACAAGCTGGTGCAACACCATAGGAATATAAGGCTGCATCTCTATACCTAAAATAGCCAAAAAACAAAAATTCAGAAGAAAACGACTATTAAAATAATCAATCTATCAAAATAGATCCGTGTGTATATACTTTAGACTAACACTCAATCAAAATTTTCATTTGCCATTTAACTAAACAAAAAAGACAAACCTTTAAACATTTTATATTGTAAACATGCATTCTCAAAAAATATATATATATATATATATATATCATCAATTCTTACCCATTTGAATGGAGATTTCACCAATTGCCCATGTAGCATTGTTGCACACAGAAATGAACTCAGGATTTAGGTTCGTTCCCAAAATCGGCATGAAATCAGCTAGAAAGAACAATATTTTTAAACTGACAGTGTGCAGTAAAGTTGGTTTTTTCCCCACTACTAGAAGTTCTCAGTAAACAATTTTTCATAACCTAAAAATATGTGAATGCATGGAATGCCTCATGTAGAACAGACAAGAGTTAGGAGCAACAATTTTGCAACTAATTCCTCAAATAAGTGTGTCATGAAGACACACATCATGTCATTGAACTGATAAAACATCTGACAAGAATGAATTCAAATTTTAGAATCCCCAAGTCAGTCCAGTAATTGTTTGGAGGTAAGTTACAGGCCTCTCTGGCATATACCTCTGCCAAAGGGATCAGCAAGTCTATAAAAACCTACCATGGATACTATAACCCTTCTGCTGAAATAAAGAAAATAAGCTCTTGGCTAAGCTTTTCACATTTTCAATTATGATGTGCAGATGTTTGCAATAGAAACAATACACTCCTAAAACAAGCAGTCTAGGTTGTAAATCAGGGATACAATTTTATCAGCTTTTCCATTTTCAGCAGAAAGTAGCTACATTAGTTGCAAAACAGTCTGAATATGCCAGATCAAAGCTGACCATGGTATAAAATCAGTCTGGAGAAAAACACTCTTGAACAGTTTAAATTTAATTTAAGAAAAAAGCAAAATGCAAGGTGCCTTTATAAAGTGTGATCTAAATAGATCTATGTCCACACATTGTTGCTGGTTCAGGGTGGTGAAAACTGAACTTTGCAAAACCTGGCCCAGTGTGCTTAATTCACTCGGAAGCAGGGATAGTCAATTATTTTTTGTCAAGGTCCAAATTTCTTGGTCAAAGTATAGTCAAGGTCCAGACTCCAGAGAAGAAGAAAATAAAAAATGATAAGTAAAATATATATTAATAAATAAATATTTGGGGGTCCGTTCAAAGTGTCTGGCAGTCTGCCTATTGACTACCCCCGACTCAGAGGATGGTTGGTATTGCCACCTCTCTTCCCCATCAAGGTTTCTGCTGTGGGATGGCAGCTTTCAAGTCTATCAGGCCTCCATAGGAGCCTTGGAAGCAACTGCTACCTAATGTGATACTTTGAACTAGGACATCTACTCCTACCCTTAACAGCACCACTCCCTAGTGAGAGGAATTGACTAATGAGATAGCTGTCTGGTAACTGATACTGCTCATTTCCCCACAACAGGCAGACTTTCCACCACCAGAAGAATCAATCCAGTCCATGGTGAAGATACCACCATCTTTTTCTTCAGCTAAAAACACGTGAAATAAGTAGGGCTGTCAATTAGTTGCTCTGTAATACCAATTTAAATGTATCAATTTTTTGGATATTTTTCTACATTTTCAAATATATTGATTTATATTACGACAGAATACAAAGTGTGCAGTGCTCACTTTATATTTTTATTACAAATACTTACACTGTAAAAATGATAAAAAATAGTATTTCAATTCAATTTTTCAATTTGTAAGTGTAACTTGTAATGTAAAACTTTAGAGCCTACAAATCCACTTAGTCCTACTTCTTGTTCAGCCAATCGCTAAGACAAACAAGTTTGTTTACATTTACATTGCCTGCTTCTTATTTACAATGTCACCTGAAAGTGAGAACAGGCATTCGCATGGCACTTTTGTAGCTGGCGTTGCAAGGTATTTACATGCCAGATATGCTAAACATTCACATGCCCTTTCATGCTTCGACCACCATTCCAGAGGATGTGCTTCCATGCTGATGCTTGTTAAAAAAAATAATGCATTAATTAAATTTGTGACTGAATTCCTTGGGGGCGGGGGGGGGGGGCAATTGTATGTCTCCCATTCTGTTTTACCCACATTCTGCCATATATTTCGTGTAACAGCAGTGTCGGATGATGACCCAGCACATGTTCGTTTTAAGAACACTTTTACTGCAGATTTGACAAAACACAAAGAATGTGTTTTGTCAATGTGAGATTTCTAAAAATAGCTACAGCACTTGACCCAAGCTTTAAGAATCTGAAGTGCCTTCCAAAATCTGAGAGGGACGAGGTAGGGAGCATGCTTTCAGAAGTCTTAAAAGAGCAACACTCCAATGCAGAAACTACAGAACCCGAACCACCAAAAAAGAAAATCAACCTTCTGCTGGTGGCATCTGACTCAGATGATGAAAATGAACATGTGTCGGTCTGCTCTGCTTTGGATTGTTATTGAGCAGAATCCGTCATAAGCATGGATGCGTGTCTTCTGCAATGGTGGTTGAAGCATGAAGGGACATATGAATCTTTAGCGCATCTGGCACATAAATATCTTGCAACACCGGCTACAACAGTGCCATGTGAACACCTGTTCTCACTTTCAGGTGACATTGTAAACAAGAAGCGGGCAGCATTATCTCCTGCAAATGTAAAACTTTTGTCAGAGCAATTGGCTGAAGTATGACTGAGTGGACTTGTAGGCTCTAAAGTTTTACCTTTTTTTTTTTTTAAATGCTTTTTTGGTACATAATTCTACATTTGTAAGTTCAACTTTCATGATAACGAGATTGCACGACAGTACTTGTATTAGGTGAACTGAAAAAATACTATTTGTTTTTTACAGTGCAATTATTTGTAATCAAAAATAAATATAAAGTGAGCACTGTACACTTTGTATTCGGAGTTGTAATTGAAATTAATATATTTGAAAATGTAGAAAACATCCAAAAATACTTAAATAAATGGTATTCTATTGTTGTTTAATCGCTTGACAGCCCTAGAAATAAGCTAACGACATATCTATATATATATAAAAAAAGAAACATACCTATGCAAGGCTTAACATGCTGAAAGCATGCCTTTGTCAGGTCACCTAACAAGGCAAAAGAACTCTGTCGTACCTCAGGCATTTTATCCTACAAACAAACAAAAAACAGGGAAAAAGAAAAAAAAAAAAAAAAACACCAAAGGGAGAAGTAAGTTGATTAGAACTAGGCTTATTAAAAAAAAAAAAAAAATCCCAGGATTTACAAAAAAAATTCTTCTCACCTGCATGCATTGGTACATTAGTGTCAAGATATTACTGCGAGCCACTAGCTGTTCAATGTTGCCTCCAAGTCCTTCAGCTAAGCCACTGAGTAAATCAAGAGCCACAATCATGAAGTCTTTATCTGGTGCCTCGTATTGGTCTGGCTGAGCATTGTGCAACTGTAATAAAACACTGGTTAAAACACCCACTTTCAATATAAAGCAGATTGAGTTCTCTCTATGCTATGCATGCAAATCAAGAATTGGTTTATGTTTTGTAACTTTAGTCAGATGTTGTTTGATGGATATGTTATAAATCCCAGTGTAATACACAAGCAGTTGCATACCCAATGCATCTACAAATCCTGGGAATAACAGAAAAATACCATGGCTTGTGCAAGAGTCTTCTGTACCAGGTTTACACAACGCTGATACACGGGTTCACAGTATGGAAGGAAGCCAGATTGCAAGGCAGTGGCAACCGAAGACAGGCACTGAAATACAAAAGCAATGTACACGTGATGATGAAAATGTATACTTTTTCTTTCACTAGGCCCTACTTAAAATATAGAGAAGAGAAAAAATTAACCATTTTGGGCAGACACTATTTCAGACAATAGTATAACATGCTACCGTTATGGAAAACCTGGGTTTAGGACTGGGCTAATAATTTTCATGCCACAGATTTTGAAGGGGAATGTTCAGTTTACAGGAGATGGCTGACAGTGTCCAACTGGGAGCGCCTCCAAGTTGTTCTATGGGAGCAAAGTTGTGGGAATAAAAGATGGGCAGTAAAAAATGCTGTAGGAGAAGAACACAAGGACTCCAGTGAAACTAACCTACAATCTTTGCTCTGGGAAAAGATATTCCCCAAATGGCTATATCTTTAAATCACACAAAAGGGAAGTTTATCTCTTTCCAGCCAAAATGAATGAGTTATGCAGAAATGGCTTTTTCCATAAATTAACATTTTTACCACTCTGCCTAATCTCTACAGTCACACCCCCAACCTGAAGTCTTTTCAGAAGAAAGGATCATTCTTGTAAGAGCTACACTAATTTATGCACAATTATAATCCAGATCCTTAAAAGATCCCCCACAATAAAATCCAGACTGCTTTATATTGAACATATATAACACGAAATCAACCTAGTAGAAGAAAGATTGGATAACCTATACAATTTCACACCAAAATACTTCGTAACATTTACCTCTAACAAAGGGAAGAGATCTTTATCCTCATCCTTCAACATGTTCCATTTCTGGATTAGTGGAGGCATTAGCATCTGAATATATTCCTATTTGTAGTGAGGAAAAACATTGTTGATTAACTGCTGAAATACTGAATTCCAAAATACCCAAGTTTTCTAACTCAGAAGTCTGGAACACATGATCACTTCTCATCTCACCTCACCTCACCTCACATTTTCTCTTTTACAAAAAAGGTCCTTATGACATATCAATGGTGAAATTACTACAATTGTTTCAACTGTGATAACTGTAAACAACTGTCTCTCCTGCAGGACTATTAATAAAGTTTCATAATGAGTTCACAGTTTGATGTTTCCTAAAATCTAATCTGAGAAATATCAATGTATTAACAAAGCTTACCTTTTTACCACTATATATTAGGTGCCAATAGATACACCATCATTGACAACTTTGCTCATTAGAGGCAGTTTCAGTAACATACATTTATTCTGTTTCAGAGTGATAGCCGCGTTAGTCTGTATCAGCAAAAAGAACGAGGAGTACTTGTGGCACCTTAGAAATTAACAAATTTATTTGAGCATAAGCTTTCGTGGGCTCAAACCCACTTC